CAAAAGTGTTTATCCTAATGCCTTGAGACTAAGGGCCCTAAACACAAAGCGTCTTGGTGCACACAGAACAACATGTCTGGAGATTTGAATTGTGGATAAAGAAACGTTTTTGATTAAGTGTTTAGTCTCAGCGACAACACCAATTGGTTTCTGAAGAGGTGTTTTAAATCCCAAAAAGGACATTAGCCATGTTGGAAATGCCTAAAGGAATCGATCCCATTCAGCCTGTTGTTATGTAGAAGTCATCTTTTTATCAAATGATCAACACTGAAGTCTCTGTTAACAGGAACAAACTGTCATGTAATGTTTTACATTAAGCAGTCTTCCACAGGCTTTATGTGCACCAGTAGATCTGTGAATTATATTTAAATGTTGAACTCTAAACGGTTGCTTCAGGTGCTGCAGTAGCTGTAAACAGCTGAAGCAGCTTAAGGCAAATAAAGACAAAAACCAGCCAGCAAGAAATCAGTACTCACAAAGAACAAGCACCATCAAAATGAAACAAAAGAAATCATATGATACCCATCTATATATTTTTATTTTATTTTATTTTATTGCACTTAAAAAGCAAAACAAAAACATAAACATAATAGATCCATGGAAAAACAGACATACATTTTGAAATAAATGTGCTGGAGGAGCCAAATACACCCAGAGGGGCTTGTCGAGTGGCCCTCCTAAAGAGAAACATGTAACACAGAGACAAAAACAATAAAGCTAACAAGAACACATACTCAATAAGGTGTAAAAGAAAGCAAAACAAGAAAGAGAGAAATTAAAGAAGAGGGGAAAAAGGAAAATAAGCTCTTATGGCAGAGAAAGATTATGATGGCGCATTGGTTAATTGGCCAAGCAGGAAATAAATGGTTTTTTAAATAAGTTGAGGCTGGTGCTGTTTCTAATATGATTGGGTAAATTGTTCCAACAATGAGGTCCTCTGAATCTGTTAGAGAATTGAGAAAACGATGTCCTGAAAAAGGCAGAATGAAGTAAGCTGGCTGACCTTGTGTTGTATTCATAGCTTGTTATTCTATGTGAACACAACATTCACTTCTGCTCTGTCATTTTGTCACGAGAAGAGCTACCTGGTTCTCCACACTTCAAATGGTAGCTTACTCTCCAAATAACCCAAATGAATCTGTCTCTACAGCTGTCCACAGCAAACTCTACTTTATTTCAAAGGACTCAACTCGGCTCACAGAAACCTCACAGCTGTTGGATGGCTGTCCGCTAAAAGAGATATCGTATTTACAAATTAAGCTAGCACATAAATTACCCAATTAAGTAACATTTTTGATAGAGAAGCAGTCAAAGAGTGTGCAGTAATTACAGACATGAACCTCTTGCAGTATTTTATGTTTCTTAAAGCTGTACTGTTAGTCCTGAGAGATCCCGATATAAGAAGTGAGACTTGATAAATAAGTCTTAAAGAGCACTACACGTCATCTAAAGGGGGGAAATACAACACTAAGCTGGTGTGTCCAAAAACTTGTAAAGTAAGCTTCATTTTCAGCATGAACTGTGGATGGAATGGATCATATTCAGTTTCATGTTTTTTTATTGTTTCACATTGAAAAAATTTAGTGACCTTTTACCTACTTTTTCTTTAAATTTTCTGATTAGTGTATCTGTTGAAAACTAATAAAACGACAAGTGATAATCCAATTTAAGACATTTCAAAGAAGATGGTACAATAGTTGTTGTGTTTGTATTTCTTTGTCATCTCTGCTAAGTGCTCATGCAGCCAAAACCATCACAAGTGTTAAAAATATCATTCCACTGCTGAGTAATGTAATATGACACAGATTGAGCTCAGGAGGCCCTAAAGAAGATATCGAGGTTACCTCCTCACAACATTAATGAAAACAGTCAAACTTCTGTCGTCATTTCATTTCTGAGATCATTCTTTAATTTGAAGCCATGTGACCTCCAGACTTCTCTAAAGTCATTAAAGGAGATACGTTTTGTTTAGCTGAGGACTATTTGTATAAAGGTCTTTTATAAGCCTGTCACCACCGCTGCTAAATCCCTGTGTGGAGGCTCTGTGAAAAAAAGCAGGAACAATGGCGATCCACTGTACAAATAAGAAGACAATTTAGTCTTTTGAAATATATTGTTACTGAAAGTTTTTCACAGACTTAAAGTGCACACACATAAAGAGCAGATTTGTTTTTTGTTTTTTTTTTAGATTTATTTTTGGGCTTTTTGTGCCTTTAATTGATAGATAGGACAGTGGATAGAGTTGGAAATCAGGGAGAGAGAGTGAGGAATGACATGCAGGAAAGAAGCCACAGGTGGGAGGTGAACCCGGGCCGCCCGCTTGAGACGACAGCCTCCATACATGGGACTAACCACTGCGCCACCAGCGCCCCATAAAGAGCAGATTTTTCAATGTGTATGAATATTTAGTTTCAAATATCTTCTCTGTTCCCTTTGACTGTGTCTGCCTTTATCAGGTGTTTGCTGTGAATAACACCAAAAACATAAATGTTTAAATACAATTTACTCTTCTCAGGAAGAGAAAAATTATATATATATATTTTTTTTTTGGGTGATATGAAAAACGATACGATCTATGACGAAAAACTGTTCTCCAATCCAAACAGTAAGATTTATGATCAGTCGGACCACTAACTTGGACCTTGAAGCCCCCACTCCTTGTATCCTTGAAAAACTGAGCCCTCCCAGGACCCACATGAAAATAAGTGGTACATTGCTGTCAAAACGTAAGATCAGTTTAACATTTTTATTACTTTTTTTACTACATGTGTTTTAACAAAAAGACCCTTCAATAAACTGTTAGTATGTCAATATGATTTGAGTTAACTCAAATCTAACTTTGACATCCTCAGAGCCGACCGAGCCTCGCTCAGTCTGAGATGGACAGCATGGTTAAGATAAAGTAATGCATCATTTTATATCTCAAACATTAGATCATTGCTGGTTGTTGTTGACCAATGTTGAATATTGTTTTGTTTCTTTCAAAGGTCTTACTTTTTTTTTTTACTCTTTTTGACCAAATATATGTTCTCTCCTTCCCTGCTTCTCGCTCTCACCTCAATCTTCACTGATGAACTCCCTCTCCGCCTCTCTCTTGTCCTCCTGTGTGGTTGTTAATGTCCCGGTGGAGAGGCAGCCATTTGTTGCGTGGGAACCAACTTCTTTTGATAATGGCCACTTCAGTCGCATGACATCCAGAGGGGGCTTTGAAGAGGGCCCATGTAGAGTTCTGAAGAAGTGACACAGCAGTGTGTGACAGGGTTTTTTTTGTACTTGTATGCCCAGCCACATCAGGGTTTGGTACTATTTGAAAAAATTGATTCAAATTCCACCTCTTGACTCCATTTGTTAAAGAATCATGATTCTGATTCCAATATAATTTGTGAGCATAAAACAATATTTGTATATATTTCCAAAAATCATCCCCCTTATTGTTTACCACATTTAGGCTCTCAACAGTGAACTGTGAGAAGGAAAAATAAACACCAACACTTTATTATAAAGGATGGATCAACAAAAACAGTTACAAACCATAAGAATTTCAATATAAAATGGAGCGATATAACAGAAATACAGTATATCAGATCATAACTAAATGGTAACATGTAGTTGTTTTGTAAATAGCAGCCTGTCAAAGACAGTAGATGTTTGCACCTTATGTTAACAGAGTAACTGCTCTACGGGGTACAGGGGTGGAGAAATGCTCTCTAAACTTGTATCATTTGTAGACATGACTTGTTGACTTTAATATAATTAGGAATCAGAAGCCAGACTTTGTTTTGTACCTGAGTGTGATGAGTCATTGATGCTAACGCTAGCAGTGTGCTGTGTCATTGTTGTGGATGGGAGACTGCAACACATCCAATATGGAGATTCCCTCAAATTCAGGCTGTGTTGAAGTAAATACTTCATTATACTGGAAGTGCTTCTTCCCTTGCATTAAATATCTTTGCTGCATGTTTGGCACTGTGCAGTGTTGCTGCTATGATCCTTTTCTGAAAACTTTGTTGATAAACTGAGTCACAAAGTAAATAATGTTATGGTGGCAGAGCAGGTCCTGGCAGCTAAGGACAACTTTTAAGGAAGGCAAAATCCTCCCTGAGGTTTTATCCTGAACGTTTTATGTTGAGATCTACATGCCTTTTTGAATCCACAGAACTCCAAAATGTAGAACCGGTTGAAGGTTGAAACGGCTTCTTGATACCTAACCTGAAACAACATGTCTGCTGAAGGGTGAGAACGTCCTTTATAATCTGCTAAACCTCTCTCTTTTTCAATGTGTACCTGCAAGTTGTTATCAGTGTCACAGCAGACATGTCTAATCCTGCAGTCATCCAGCACTGAGGGAGAGAGAGAGAGAGAGTCGGTCAAGCCCTGGGCCTGAGATGTTCCTACATCCGCACATCCACCTGCGGCCTGTTCCATCGGAATTAAAGGCAGTGAGAAAATGAGGAAGACACAAGAGAGGCCAATGTGTGGAAGGGAGAGAAAGAGAGTTCATCGACTAATAAGCAAAAAAGAGAGAGCACATATTATCATGCTTATCTCTGATTTGAAGCTTTTCTTTTTGATTTCTTGATCAGAAAAGAGAGACACAAAAGCTTTAAAGGTGGTGTTTTGTGAGATTTTTTTCAATTAGCCTCGAGCAAGTGTTGGGCATTGTGTTTGATTTACCTCCCACCACAGCGGCTCCAGTTTTTTTTCCCTTTGTTGTTCTCCTGTTATACACTCTTGGTGATGGGTGTATGTTGATCCGCCTCTTTTCATGACACGCTCCATTGATCTGTCTCTAATCTACTTTTGGCTTCCTGACAGAGCTGACTTCCCTCAGGCATTAATTATGCCTCCATGTGGTTTATATCAGTGGGCTCCAGCACCCAGCACTCTGCTCTGCCTAATCCAATCGCATCCCCGTCTGTGGCCCAGCCGCTGCAGCGCTCACCCAATCAGATATATTGAGTATGTGTCGCAAGTGTTTCCCTTTGCTTACACCCCCACAGCAATATCAGCCATCTGTCCTGGTCAGCCCCGGTAGTGCCACTGTTCTAAAGTCCCTCTCTATAAAGAATGCACTGTACAGCACATGGGTACAGAAGGCAGGTGTGTGGATCGCTGAGGCCTCTGAGTCCCACAGACTGCAGCTCCTGGATGAAGGATGAAAACAGGAGAAGCTGCTTTCTGCTGTACGAAGTATTTGACTTTTGAAGATGTTGTGGGAAATGACTGAACTCTTTGTCTTTATCGGGACATTTTTGAGGATTTCTGAGGACTGGAACCAGTTATTTGCAGAGGCTGTTTGACCTTTGAGGTGACCTCTCTCGGACAGAGTACGTTTTGATTTAACCTCAAGATGACCTTTAAGGGGAAGCGGCGGTGGGACAGCCCGGTGAACAACTCGTCCCTGAGCTATGCTCTCCATGGAGGAAGTGCCCCAAACCTCCTGTCCCCTCCAAACTCAGAGTCCCTGGGGACCCTTAAGAAGAGACTGTCCATGGACGTCCTGCGGGGCTGGGCCCCAGACCTCGGGAGCCTTAGTATGGGCCTCAATCTCAATTTGAGCCCGGTGAAATGGCCCTCGCTAGTTACTGTATGCAAGTGGAAACAAACCCTGACAGAGAAGCTAAAGATGGGCCACTGTGGCAGAGAGGACGACTTACAGGTTAGACAAAGCCTAAGCATGCTAACAGCTTGAAGTCTGATCATCCTTTGGTTGAAAGGTTTTGAACATTAGGATCTAGAGTCTTTCCTTTTTATGCAGCATAGAGCGAGTCCTACATCCTTCAATGATGATATCTCATAACATCGTGTATATATTTGGAAAAAAAAAAATGGGGATGGTTTTCATCATTCTCTTTAAAGTGATGAAAATCTAACCAGATTAGCTGTAGCATATCTTTGTTCCATGTAAAGTCATGTGCATCATAAGAGATGGATGAAACATGCACATGGCAGCGACCCGGCCATGAGAAATTACATAATCCAGGTTCCATTGATCTAAAGTCAAAACCACAGTATCTAGTGCATAACTGACAGTACAGTACATAACCTCTATAAGACAGTTTAAGGGGAAGTGAAACATTTGTATGTACTGTAAGAAATGTAATCACAATCATTTATAAAAACAGTGTTTTCATATGTCAGCCATGTGATCGACTGGCGACCAGTCCAGGGTGTGTCCCGCCTCTCGTCCAATGACAGCTGGGATCACGACCCCATATAGATAATTGATAGATGGATAGGTGTTATGAATAACAAAACTCCTTTTCAGCCTGCTCACAGAAGACTAAGGTTTACATATTCTTATGTTAAAAAGTAGAGAAAGTAAAAGTTAAAATACCTCCTGGAGTGTCACAAAATATTTAGTTCATATAGAGTCAGACTGACTTTGGATCAGTATGTTTTCTTCATCTATATTGCTAAATTTAACAATGAAGAGTATTTTTTTTATACCAAATTACAAAAGTGAATCATATATTGTGGTTTAATGACTTCTATAACATTTGGGCTGAGGTTCTTCAGACTCTAAGTCTGTCAAGCATTTATAAAAAACATGATCAGAGGCTCAGAGGGAACAAATTTTTCACTATTTATAACAAAGTCTTCTTCATGTGTGGAGCCAGCAAGATGAACACTCTCATCTTTGTGATGCTTTTTGATACCAACTGTTTTTAAAACATGTGGCCAAGGTGTGTTTGTCTAACTTACTCTGAAGTTATTATTGACGGAACAAAAGTGAAAATTTGAGTTTAACGTCCCTTATAAATATATTAGTAGCTAATGTTACACAGATAGCACCTGCTCTCAGCAGGGAGTCATTTATTATCTCTAGTTGCACGTGGCTGTTAGCCCTGACATTTTTCAGATAACACATGTTTTCAGTTTATTTATTTGCATAGAAAGGGGCCAGTTTTGCCCTGACACTAATGCATAATGGATCAAATAAATACTCACAAACAGCACAAAGAGAAAACAGCAGAGAGGATGCTTCCTCTGTAGCACATTTAGCAGCGCTTTGAGAATATGATGGTGTCTTTTTGTCTCATCTGCACAGGTTTAGCAGAAACAAAGCCATCCGTTGATGAATTAGGCTCTACAAGACCAAACCACCATGCAAAAATAATAAAACCATCCGTTTAATATGCATTGTAATTAGAAATGGAGCGCTCCATCCAGCAGGTTTCTTAAGTCTGTGGGATTTCTTGTTTAATTAAATGTTTTGTTTTATTTTGTAGCAGGCTGATGATCTGGGTTTTCTCTCTTTGGTAGTTAAGGCAACATGAATGCACTAATGTCTTCTGTGTCTTCCAGTTTATTCTGGACTTTAGGGTTAAAATTTTGAAGTCGAATAGTGTAGTGCAGAGGGAGACTAAGGAAGGGTTTCAAATGAATATATCATTTCTTTTCATTTATAATTGACTGTGTACTGTTCCCCAGTGTGCTGTATATGGAAGAATGGATTTCATTTCAAATGGAGATGTTAAAGTTTGAAAGAGTCAGCATGTGAGGCTTCTGGGTTGCTGTGGTGGGTAAGCCTTTTTAGATAGGCTTGTGGGAGAAGGGGGCACCACCGGCCCATATGGAGAAATGAAAATGGCATGCATGGCTTACAAAGTCATCATCCAGTAATTCTAACTGAGGAATTCTACGCAGCTGTCTTATGAAATGGATTTTATTACTATTGGTCATTTAAAAAATCAGAGAGTGTATCGTTTTCAAACGAGTGATCTCAAAAAGTATCAAGGTTTAGTATCGTTTAAATTGTTTGTATTCTGTGATCAAGAAAAAGTGACATTCAGACCTCTTGTCAAACTTCAGTTAGAGACTTTATGAACAGAGTTTTAGAAGGAGCTCTGCCACAGTTCCTGTCATACCAGATCCAGTGCTTGCCTCTGGATGATGTAGAGGAGGTAGTGTGGCAGGGGAGGCGGTGAGTGAGGTGGTGGAGGGCTTTGTAAGTGAGCAGAGGAAGTTTAAATTGCCTCTGTTGTGGTCCAGGGACCAGTATAGGTGATTTAAGATAGGTGTGATGTGAAGCAGGAGCTGGAATGAACAGCAGAGATCTTGATGTACTGCACTTTCTGAAGTACTTTGAAAGAACACCAATGCAGGGCTCAGCTCAGTATTATCTGAGTCTGAGAGTCAGAAGAGATAAAAAAGTTGGATTTTCAGTTTTTGATGAGATCTGATGTTAAAAAATTATAGGTTAGTGTCAAAGATCTCTCTAAAGGTTGTGAACACGCTTGATGATTTAAGTGAGCAATTTGGTGAATTTAAAAGCAGGGCCATTTTTTTTTAATCATTCAGGAGTCTAAATCAGGGTTCTCAGACTTTTTGACTTGTTGGACCAGACAGACATAAATCTGACAGACTGGTGGGGGGGAGGCAGGGGGGGTTATTAAACACGAAATACTGTATAAAATACTCAAAAATCAAACTTTACTCAGCATCATTGTGAGCCATGAGCCTGTCTTCTGGAGACAAGGTGATTGTAGCGTGTCATTTAGTGTGTAAGTGACAGAAACAGCTTGTTTCTAACATCCAGTCTGCTGCGGAGCATTGTTTTGTCTTAGTGTTTTCCGTTTTCTCATGTTTTGACATGTCAAGCTTTGACCCATACATGAGGTAATCAGTAAAAGGTTTTTTTTTTTAAATATTTATACTTTTACTTAAATAAAATTGATAAAGAATATTGTTTACGTCATTAGTCATTTCCTAGTCCCAACATCCCGGAGTAGTTCCATTTTTTCCTGTTCATGGGTTGAGTCTCAGTTCAACTGTAGGTCTTGACTTTGCCGAGATAACATGATGATGAAAATGTGTTAAAAGTAAGAATTCAAGCTTTGTTCTGTTCTCCAGAGGAGGAGAACACTTTTAAAATGCTTCTTTGTTGAATGGAGGTTGGATCGTTCACATCTGACTTCAAGGAGTTGGAAAATTTGAACACTGATTGTCTTTTGTGACACTGAGCAGTTGAAATATTTGACCTGATATGGTAGTCTAATAACTGCACTTTTAACCAGATGTCTGTTTATTAAGATCAGTATTAGTCGTCAGATTAGCTCTGATTGGAGCTGTTGTGTCTTAAGTGCAGATAACGTTCCACATTGTTTTTACTGTCCCCCTGGATGAATACAGCTCGTACTACAAATATACTACAAAGAGAAACAAGAACACTTCCCCATGCTGACAATCCAGACCCCCATGTACAGATTCTATATTTCTACATAAAGGCTGTAAATAGAGATTAGGCAGCAGTAGACTAGTGTGGCTCAAGTGTCAAAATGGTGAGGCTGACGTATTAAGAAAAAATGTTGGAAATGTAGTAATTTAAATAGTCCGCATTTATAAATAATAATACATTTATTCAAGGAGTGGATACAGTTAAAGTGTGTAAATTTCATCTTGAACATCACATCACAGCCCAAATTCAAGGTGTCATAACATTTATTTGTGATTTAAGGCACACTACTATCTGAGGCTAAAACACTAGTTTAAACCTCACAGCAGCAGCATCTAGCAGAGGTACATTAGTGAAAATACATCACTGAAAACATTCCTTTTAGAGATCACATTTTAGTTTTTAAATGTATGTCAGTGTTGTCTAAAATAGGACAATTAGTAAATGTATGGTGGTAAATGATGAAGCAGTGTTTATTAGGCCAAACGTGTAAGTGGAGAACCTTCCAGGGGTAAAAGTGTGGATTAAAATGTTTTTGTCGAAAGTATATACAGATCTTTAAATGTGCCTCTGTTTGAATACGTACTGTACATATTGTTCAGCCGACATACATTTTATATTTAATATAAATAATGTGAAAATTACCAGTCTTCATATTTAAATGTGATTAGTGAAAGGCGTCTGATCCAACCTTCACAACAGGGTCCTAAGTCTCTGACTAGACTCTTCTCCTCTGTCGCCCCCCAGTGGTGGAATGAACTTCCAAACTCCATGTGATCTGCAGAGTCCCTCTGCACCTTTAAGGAAAAGCTAAAGACCCAGTTCTTTCATGAATACTAACTAACTTAATGATGATGGTCTCCATATTATTGATGATGATGATGGTAATGACGATGGTTTTTGTTTGGTAACGACGACTTATAAGATGGTTTCTATACTGATTAGAGCTCTCAAGAACTGCCCTCAATGTTGTGCTTTGCC